GATCCTGATCGCCCTGATCAAATCTTATGGGGACGAAGAAGTAGTTTAACATTAACAATGATTGACGATGCATCCACGTCTGATGATAGCGACGGCGAGATGTCGTCTGCATCTGACTATGTCTTTTCTGTGATCACTCACGGCTGTGCTTCAGCTCACATAATGGGCCTTAATGAGGGTGGATTGCGTCGTCTTCAGCAGCAACTGGTATCACAGAAGTCTATCAGACCGCCGTCTACGCGAGCGTATCAAAATGAAGAGAAGATGTTGCGCGCTCGCAGGGCTCTGTCTGATCCTGATCGCCCATTTAGCGTCGTATGTGACGCTTCGGACTTTGCCATTGGCAGTGCACTTTTGCAAGTCGACTCTGAGGGTCAAGAACGCGTTGTCGCGCTTGAGTCTCGCCAGCTGAGAGCTGCAGATATGAACTATCCAGTTCATGACAAGGAGCTACTTGCGATGAAGTATGTTCTTGTTAACTTCAGGGTACACCTGTTGGGCTCAAAGCCGTTTGTGGTCTATACCGATCATGCTTCGTTACAACCAGCGACAAAGTCGCCTCATCTCTCGCAGAGAATGGCTCGTTGGTTCTTCTTTTCGCGGAGTATAACTTTGAGGTGAAGTATAAGCCGGGAAAACAGAATATTTTGGCTGACGCGTTATTGCGTAGGCCTGACTATAAGCTTGCTCATCTCACTGTTGTGAGTTCGTCAGTAACGGATCGTATCCGTAAGGCGTATGCACGCGATGAGGCATGTGTTGCTATTCTGCAGGCGCTGGGCAGCGCAGAGCTTGAAAACTCTAAGGTGAAGTTGTCACCACGTAATCGTGCAAGATTACATCGTTATGCACTGACCGATGGTCTGTTGTACTATAATACAGGGTCGGATGACCAGCCTCGTGTTGTGGTGCCTCATGATGAGGACCTCAAGTATCAGATACTTTATGAGGCTCATGATACACCACGTGGTAGTCATTTAGGTCGTGAGAAGACCTACACTCGGTGTGCAACAATTCGTGGTGGCCCAAGCTGTACAAATGGGTTGGTACCTACGTAAGCACGTGTGAAACGTGTCAAAGGGTGAAGCCCTCGCCTAATACGGCTGCGCTATTGGCGAGTTTGCCTGTACCCTCGGGGTTGTGACAGTCCATTAGTATGGACCTTGTGTTTGGCCTACCGCGCGATGCGGCAGGCAACACTAGGATTGTGGTCTTTTTGTAGACCGACTGAGCAAGATGGCTCACTTAGCGGCAGTGCCGGACTCCATTGATGGAGAAGGGACAGTGTAGCTTTTCATGGATCGTGTGTTTTGATAACAAGGATCGCCTGTGGCAATCGTCTCAGATAGAGACCCCCGTTTTACGGGTAAGTTTTGGACGTCCGTCTTTAAAGTGCTCGGCACTCGACTGGACATGCCCACTGCGGATCATCCGCAGACCGATGGTCAGACTGGACGCGTCAACCGCGTTTTTGGCGATATGCTTCGCAGTGTTTGTGCTGAAACACCCAAGCAATGGAGCACGATGCTCCCTCTGGTAGAGTTTGCGTTAGATACCCGGTGCATGCCTCGACAGGCTTCACACCATTTTATGTGAATGGTTTGGTCAACCCTCGCGTTCCGTTAACGCCTACCCTGCCACATCAGGGCTTACTGGGCAGAGATAGCCGAAGGCTTGGCTATATCAGCCCTGTTGCGATGCGCAAGAAGGTGGAAGCGTTTCTGTCAACGCGTTTTGACGTATTACGTCGCGTCAAAAACGCTATGGCTGAATGCCAGGATGTTCAAAAGGAACAAGCAGATGCCAATGGCAGAAAGAACGAACACGAGTTCAAAATGGGTGATTTAGTTTTATTCATTGCTAGTAATTTACCTACTCGTGCCGTTTCTGCGGTATACAAAACCAAATTACGTCCACGCTTTATCGGACCTTTTAAGGCTGTAAGCAAGAAAGGTCTAGCCTATACGCTGAACCTTCCACAGAAGATAAGAAAACACCCTGGGTTCTACGTGGGCTTGCTAAAGCTATATCTCAACTCTGCCTCGGTGGAATAGAAGGGGTTGCCCCTGGCCGAAGGAGGGGGAGGGTAGTACGGCACCGGAGTTGCATATGGGCTCTGAAGGCATACAAAAAGATCATGGATTGATGGGTCACCGACTCGCTGACTGTGATCGATGCTCTCGGTGGTTAAAATGTGCACGTTCAGCGCATCTTTGCGCTACGTATTCATTAATGATCATACCTAGTATCTGGGGAAGTAGAGTGGATACACACAGTAGTATGACTCGTGAAAGTACGAGGCACTCCTCCAGCAAGACTGCTTAAACGTCGTTGAAGCTTTTGATCGGGACGATCAGAAGCGGCGACAGCAGTAGACGGATGCTTTCTAGCACTGAGTGCTTTGAGAGCATAATCAGTAGTTTGGCTTTGCCTTTGACCTCATTGAAAAACAGTTGCCGGTATCTCACTCGCGTGAAATGTACTATAATTTGTCCTCAAGGAGAAAGTGTTAAAAACACTAAAGCTTTATTCGCAAGTGCGGGGCACTTATTGCGAGGCAAGCAAAATGGGACGAAAAAAATCGATGCCTCCAATTTGTGGGTACGTCGGGTCCCACGGATTGGTGGGGGAGGGTGTAACGGGTTACACGAAGGTGTGTCTTTTACATATACACCTGGTGTGGCTGTACCTTTGGTACAATAGTAGGCTCGATGTGACCGTACCTAAGGTACGAAGGGTCGCATCGTGGCAGAGAGCTACGTGGTCACTATACTTAGTTAAGTATAGCGACTATACATGTTTGCATAATAATAAAGGGTTTCAAAGCCAGTAAATAGTAACTAACACTAAGTATAGAGTAGCTGCTTCTATATTTAGTGCTAGAAGATAAACATAAATTTAAATCAGTTTCAAAACCTGCTGCATAAGCCTTACAGCTTGAGCATTCTATTCCTTCTAAGGAATCGTATCATTGATACTAGTATCTTTGACACTCGGTTGTTAATACCGATAGGCTTAAGCTATCACAAGCTTACGAATTATGCTATGGGAGTGCATAACACTTCCATAGCATAATTCGTAAGCTTGTGCCTATCGCTTTTTACAACCAGGTCTCAAAGAGAGTAGTATCAATGATACATTTCCTTAGAAGGAATCGAATGCTCAAGCAGTGATGCCTATAGAGCGGGTTTTGAAACTGATTTATATTTATGTTTATCTTCTAGCACTAAATATAGAAGCAGCTACTCTATACTTAGTGCTAGTTACTATTTACTGGCTCTGTAGCCTATTATTATGCAAACATGTACAGTCACTATACTGAAATAAGTCTAGTGACCACGTGACCCTTTGTACCTTAGGTACGGTCACATCAACCTCATAGTACAGCCACACCAAAATGGTGTGGCAGGTGTGTATGTACAATACACATCTTTGTGTAACCCCGTTACACTTTTTAAATGCGTCACTACTGAAAATATCCAGCTATTCATTCCGAGCTCTTCTTACTCGTACCCGTCTTCACCATCGTAAAACTATTGAGATAATTAGTGCTTTTCACGAACGGCGCAAGCAGACGAATAAGAACGTCTTTAATATAAACCGCTGACTTTATGTTGGGCAGGCGAATGGCGTCACAGGATACCCGGTTTGTATCATGACGTTACAGGATACGGATATGATATACGGCTCATACCGACGATTGTGAATTTGTTATTGAACAGCTGTACCGTTTGTGTGAGATAAGAAATAGTCTTTTGGTAATTCAATGTCGATTTGTGATTAGGTAAAACTCTGTACCGTGCTATATTTTCTCACCAATCACGACGTCTAACTTGTCCCGCCAGTCAATAATAAAGATGTTCGGAGGTTACCACGCCATCGCGCTGCCGCTACAGTACAGCTCATTCCAACGTTTTATCTACGTCAAACAGCACGATTTTAAGCCTAACGCTAATGCTGAATCTATTTTGGCTGCTGGCCGCACCGCATACGTTGTAAATTTACCTACGAGTACGTCGGAAAAATGGCTTCGTGCATGTTTAGAACCTCTCGGCGCTATTCAACACCTTGTTGCTGGCTCTGGAGGCCTGTTTGACGAAGAAGAAAAGGACACGGATGTTGCAACAGATAGCAGGGCTAATCGCACCGCTCATATCGTATTTAAGGCTAAGAAATCGCTGGACAAGATGCTCAAAGTGGACTCTTTGGAGACGGCCGCACCTAGGAAACTTACTGGTCTACAAGGTGAGCGCTATCAACATCATTTTGGAGCCAGTATGATCAATTTCTACAAACTAAGAATGTTATTGTTGTTGGCGTGGTGGATTGGGTGCAGCGTATGCGACCAGGTATCGTTGCAATCGTCCTGGTCTCTCGGTTGTGAAGGAAATGGCGGATCGCTACATGGCGTCGTTCGATGATATGGAGGAGCAGGACATGCGTAGACGTGAAGAGTTAAAGAAACAGGTGGACGAAGATGGATTCCAGACACAGGTCAATACTAAAAAGCGCGGCGTTGTTGGAGTAGAAGATGCATTGATCAGGCCTGCAAAGAAACAGAAGAGCAAGGAGATTGACAATTTCTACAGGTTCCAAACACGTGAAAAGAAGCGAGGCCGTACGTGGAGTTGCTTGTTTGAAAGAAGGGTAGTTGTACTAATTGTTGTATGTCGTGGTGGTGCTATAGAGCTGAAATTACTACGGGAACGCTTTGAGGAGGACCGTCAACTGATTGCCAAAATGAAAAAGGTTAACAAATTTTGTCCTGAGTAGATGGTTTATCTGAATAGTTAACGCTTGTTTTCCTGTACGCCGTAAAAGCTCTTTCTGGTTGTGCAAAATTACAGCTAGAGGCATGAGTCTACTGACTTTCATGTTCCAATCTCTATTGACGGAACTCTACAATGGGCTTGCTGAATACCTTGACGATGGGTCGATAAAGCTGTTAAGGCTCATGTCTCGCAACAATTTCACACGATGATGCTCAGCTAGTTTATGGCCTACGGAATTCTGCTGACTTGTACTGTGCTTTGCACTTTTAGATAGTTAGTGTTTCTCTCATACGCTAAGGGTGCATCTACACAAGTAACAACTGTTAGTCTGTATGAAAAAACTACTTTTCAACATCAAAGCGTTGCTTTGCGAGCTTGCTGTGAGATGTTTGAATCGGTAATCAATGTGGTTACTTTCTAATGGCGGTCGCATTGTCTGAGAGACATTGAGCAGACGATTCGTCAAAAGTTGAACAATACACTTACAGAAGTAGCTCGTAGTTTGTGAACCAGAAACCTGATTTCAATCATTCCCTCGACTCATTTTCAAGTTCAGTCATATCACACACAAAGCTAGACTGTAGACCCATATTTGAAGTGTTTTTCAAATTGCACTTTTAAAGTTATTCAAGATGTTGCCCAATTTTGTCGGTCGAGTCATCCGAGGTGTTCTTTCACAGGTCAACCACAGGTGTAAGTCAAGTCGATTGGACTCCAAGCGGACGTGTTTTCTTATGTGCTAAAGCTTACGATAGACTGTTTTCAATGACACGATATCCGACGGGACGGGAATGAAGTGAGATCTGCTCGAACAGTTTATCGAGGTGAGGGATTGGTGTGGTTTGTTACGAGACAAAGCATTGTTAGTGTTACGACTGGTGATCACGGCGTATGTTTGATTTGCGATGTGGTAAGATAGACAACACGAGGCCATTTGATTTGATTTCGAGACCAGGACTGAAACCAAATTCACTCTTACAGAAAACTTACAAGCTGTACATGAAATTGAAAAACCTGATCGGAACATGCTCTGAAGTCGTGCACATGGCCATAAAAGTATTTGCAGCTCATGGTTGAGTATCAGAGGCAGCCTACTAAAATGGACACGAGGGCCAGTGCCAGTAGCCAGGCCATCGTGGTGATAGACGAGAGACATACTGCGGTACCGAGCTGCAACATCTAATGATACCAGATCTTGCGGCAAATCAGTCAGGGTCTTGTCGAATCAGCATCAGCCGCTCATTGCCAATGGCCACTCAATCAAGCAATCAATAATTTATGCTAGCACATCAAGTATGTCTTACTGTGCTACCTGTTAACCAATGTCCACAGATCTTGATAGGGGACGATAAGAATAACATCCATGTAACGATTGCATACGCCATGTGATTTAACTTGTGCAACTGCTACTAGCAGCGCTATTGACTTAACGAAGTTTCAATTGGGATGTGTTGAATAAATCTGATCAGATTAGATATCGTTCGGCTCAAGTTGATGTAGTAATGTGTAGCATGTGCACATCGGTACTAATCGTTTGCTTTGTCCTGACAGATTCAAGGACTTACTTACTACTTAAGACCCGTCAAGAGCTCAACAATGCGTTTCATCTTCTTCCTTTCCCTGCTCCTGACCACATTTGTCTTGAGCAGTGACACCTTCGTCAGCGCGGAAACCAACGCTGTAAAGAATTATAGCTACGACAGGACCAATGTCCGCCGCCGACGTGGAGAAAGCAACGTCGAAGAGGAGAGAATTGACACGCATGGTGCTGAAGGTGCCGTCGAGCATTTGTTACCTGCTGCCATGGCTGAAGTAGTGACACCAAACGCTGGCGCTGCCGCGAATGCGGCAAAACAAGCTCAAGCCGGCAAAGAGAATGAAACGCTGGTGTATCAAAAGATAATGGAGATATTAGAGCAGAACAAACGAACGAGTAAAACGCGAAAGAAGTGGTCTGCTCTCAAGACTTTCTTAATTATTGCGCTCGCTGGTGCTGCTGCTGGCACTGCCTCGTACGAACTATTCCAATTTCTGTCAGCGCCATTTGATAATGTGGCCTCATCACCGTCACTAGTTGATACATCAGCTTCAGGCTCTGCTTAGGAATTGTCAAGCCGCTATTGTGGCGTATGTTCATGTTGATCACTTGTGCGGCTTGCTTGGGGTTGTTTGGAGACAAATTGGTTCTGTTTGATTTATTCAACTCTTTTTGGTGCGCTGGTTAGTTGGCCCTTTATGCCAGTAGATTGTGTAATCAGCGCTTTGTGGTTAGTCTTTAACAGCATTTCCAACATAAACATCTATTTAATACTTACCCTTATCCAATCGTGCAGTAACATCGCTGTAGTACAAATGATACATGCAATTGCATCCTTGATGGTATCTTTTACCAAGTAGAATCGCTTTTGACTAGGATTGTTACCGTGCCGTGTCGTCGGTTCAAGTCCTTTGAACGTCGCATCCTTGAGTTATCGGTATGCAGGGTCTTCCGAAAGCATTAACGAGTTTTTCGCGAATTCGGTCATCTCTGTTCCTTGTTAAAAGGAAGCAACTTCGTGCTTCAAACAGAACTTGGCTGTCTGCGGAACCCACTTGTCCATAGCTGCGCAGATCACCAAATCCGGTGATAATTCCATCAGTACATCTTCGTATGGCTTAAGCGATGTCTAGATGACTTGGGCTGACGCTAGTCTTAGGCTCTTAAACAAGCCTTTGTAGGCCTTCAATGCATTTACTAGAGCTGGTCAGCTTTTTCGTCAGTATCATTAGGCAACACCTACGATATCAAGGTGACAGTCAGCAACTTGTAGAAGCCATAGACTGCAATAAGGTGTCGGATAAAGCTTTTGCGCCTGATAAAAAGAGCCATACGCAAGCAAGTATTGCTGCGCTTTTTAAAATGGGATAGACACAATTACGACGCGCAAAGTCTGCGGCGTGGTCATACCTACTACTTCTATTGCCTGATGAGAAAGACTGCAATGCGCACTATTTTATCGATGCATTGCTGTCAGTTTGTCAAACCAATCATGTATACGCACGCCAATTGTTTGTTCTGAGTCTCATGGTCGACAGGTGAAAAGTTCGACGCTGAGCGACAGTGGTTCGGCGGCGTTTTATTAGCCTAGACGACCAATGTCCGTACGATACTAGCAAACATCGCTATCATGACCAGCCAAGCTATATCGAACCTATGAGTGATTTAGCTCGTGCTGACCACCTCTTTGGCCATCGAGGCTTCCATTGGGGTTCCTCACGCTTACGATCATGGCTTGGCTACGCAGCCGCTGCCGAGTCTTATGTCTCAGTAGACCACAAGCAATAAACCCGCGATAAAAGGCCCCATCGTAACTTAGAAGAGCGTTATGATGCCAGACATGTCGTGTTTCTGCAAACGCGTGCCATTGCCCACATGGAGCTCAGCGCAAGCATTTCTGCAAGCGTCCAAGACATGGCTAAGACTGCAGCCATCACCTACAGTGTGTCCTCTGCAGCATTGCTGTAATTGATCACAAAAGACTTCGACACGACGAATGATTGAGAGCAAAGCTGAATCACATGAGTATATAGCCACATACCCAGCAAAACGCAACTGAGTGTGAGCAATTTTTACGATTGCCGTTGCCAGTGTCGAAACTTACATTCCAGTACCTTTCACCTTGACTCTGTCGTTTACATCGATATTCTAAGGTAGATGTTGCGTGAATTAGCACTATCAATTAGATAGCTGTCAAAGTTGTTTCTTGACCTATAAAAAGAGTAAAGTAGACGATGCTATTGACTTACCTCAACTGTAGAATTCTGTGCTAGCAATGCTGAAGGCTGTACAGTAACAGACATTAGAGCTTGAAACTCAAGTATGTGAACATATTACCAGCGCAATAAAACAAATCACAGCAAAAACAACTCGATATATTTGAATCGAAAACAATTGAGTTATCAAGTAACTTGTCAAATCAACATTCTTTTCTCGATTGTTTACGCTTGCACGCAAAATGTCCAATGTAATCGTAAAAGACAAACAATACAAATTCAGATGTATTTGTTAATTCCAGTCGCTAGCGCATTGTCGGTTCCACTTGCTAGCGTAGTGTCGATTCCAGTTGCTAGCAGACTGTCGTTGCTAGCCCGTTGTAGATGCTAGCGCAGCGTCAGTTTCAGTCGCTAGCGCATTGTCGGTTCCAGTTGCTAGCGTATTGGCGGTTCCAGTTGCTGGCGCATCGTCCAGTAATAACATCTCTAGAGTTTTAAAAATACTTACATTCTCCTCGTCTGCTTGTTCGACGACCAACTCCGTAAATTCATTGACGACGGGTGCACGCGTTGACGAGTTGCTTAAATGCATAGGGACATAACGTAGGCATGTCTCCACCACTGTTCCAGTTGTGGAACGATTCGTGGTTGGTCGAATAATACACCATCCAGTCGAATCCGAATGCATACCCCGAAACAACCCTTCACCTTCTGAAAACACCTTCCATACAATGACAACGCGGTTAATCTCGTGGAACCGACGGACTACAGCTCGCTGCAACATTGACACACTTTCACCCATTCGAGGACTTGAGATCCGAATCTTTGTCGCTATGATATTGTCAGGGTCGTTTACGTCCTCATAACTTACTCGATCCTGTTCTTGGTGCTTAAGCTTCGCTATGTGCCATAGCAAACAGCACGTCTGCTGAAAGTTGAATGGTAGTATTTGTCTCGATACCCGCTGAGAGAATCCGCATTCGTCTTTGTTGGCTTTAGCGACTGGCAAAGACGGTGCCGCCAAGGACAAATCGCAAGCGGTGAAAACGTCATCAGTCCGCAAGTAGATGGTGTAAAGTTCTGTAATAAACGTTTCAAATAGTGTCGAATCTGTCACCTTTAAACGCATCCGCTTTTTATGTCGTGACAAGTCTCCAAATTCATCATTTTCCATCGTTCCGTCGTATAAGCGTTTCTTCAAGAACCCGCAAAGATCTTCAATCAAACCAGCTCTTGAAAGGATGGCAGCACGTAGATGTACCTGTTCCTTCTCAGCAGCACGTCGACGTTGCTCCTGTCGAGTTGCAATGGCTTTCCACAAACAGCTCGAAAGTGCGGCATCAGTGAATAGTAATGAACTGTTAGCCTTTGTTGAATCCTGTAACTTGACAAGTTTGGTTGATAACTTGTCAATCTCGTTGCGTAAAGATTCTTTTTCCTCCTTCTGTCGCTTGCGATACTCACTGCGTCGAATAGCATCCTTCGATCGATGTTGCGGTTGGTGTATTGTCTTAGCAGCTGGAACGATTGAACTGCCCAATTGAAAAGTGTTGGATGCCACTTGAGTCGTCATTTGATTGTGTCGCTCAAATACGACTGGAATTGGCTCAATCAGCGGTATGTTTGACGTGGACGGGTCGAGCGCAAGATCTGCGTCCGTTGTTATGGCATCATCCATTTGTGGTGGACTATCAAAGGACAGTACACTTGGTAGAGCAAAGTCATCGGACATTTGGAAAAAGTTCACTAATTCGTCAAGCACAGAGTCATCCATAACGTTAACCTTATAACAAACTAATGATTAATTTAACTGGCACTTGTCAGTCATTACACAAGTGAGAGAATAAATATACAGGAGATACGGCGTATGATAGGAGAACGCAAGAGATGGGAAGCTCAAACTTATGGCAGCCACGTGCGTGAGAAAGAGTCTAGGTGTTAACGGATGTATATACGTATACAATTTAAGTTTTGATTGGCAGAAACTAATCTGTATGCAGCTATCCGGATATGACAAAATTTTACAGCTGCGTGCACGAAAGAATGATTTGTTTACTTTATTACCAAAAAGTTGTACTTGTAGTATACCTGCTGATCACGTGTATGAAGAGTGAAAAATGATTGCGTGATGAACCCGAGGGTTCTAATAATAGACTAGCGCCCTGTTGTAATGCAAATAAATTGCGTCAATAATTCAGCCCATTTGTGAGTAATTCCAGAACATACTTTAATGCACTATAAGAAACCTGAAGCCCACAACATTCGTGCGCAAAATAAAACAGCTGCACAGTTTTTTTTGTTACATGTGTTTTAGTGGCAATCTTACCAGTAGCGTGTTAACTTCTCCCATGGTCATAGTAGACAAGCCTAAATACAGGTGGTGCTGCAATCTCACATGATAGTGATGTGCATATTTTTTGCCACCAAATCGTTTTTTTGGATTGCATTACCACACTGAATGCATAGAGATGTACAAAGCAGTTGCAAATATCTCGCGGGCTACCACATATAGGAGCGTCAATGACGCAACACAAACAACAATGTAGCGCAATTTCTATGTAAATACTGGCGTATGTAACATGAGAACGTCCCTAATGAATAGCGTCCGTTGCTGACACTTCATGCTCGATTGAGATTTCCACACACCGAAATCAATGGCGCATCTTTCTTATTCGACGCGTTTTTGTTCTTAAATCCTCAGCCATCAACAATGGTCAGTTTTAAAACTTGTGGCCACGGTAGTACTGTAGTACCGTAAGATAAAAACTATTAGTGATAACAACTCAAGTAGATTCGACATTAGAGTAGAGAAACGAATTGTTGTGTCTTTTCTACTTTCTTAATACCGGTACTTGGTCGAATAATCTTTCGGTGAAATGACAAGCCCTCGACCTTTCCGAGCGCCGCGGTAGACGGTCTCAATGATATCAATCATCTCTGCTTTATTGTTAAAAGCCCAATTAATCTTATTGTTATTGCCCGTGCCAAGATCAATCATAATGTGCTTGTTTCGGAAGAAAAACATGACGGTGCATGGATCGTAGAGCTCATACATTGTATTAAAATCCGGTACCTCCGTGATGTCCACCACATAAATAGCGGCAAAGTTCTTGACATCCTCTGCAACACCACACAACACTTCATCCATCTGCATACATGTTGGGTCATGATCGTGACCAAAGCGAATTACCACCACACGGTCACCTTCGTTCAATATCGCTTGGTCCACGGCCCAGCCACTCTCTAGATGCGGCAATAAGTACGACATGAATGTGTGAAAGAAAAATGAACTTGTTGAATTCAACTGCCACTTAAATGGGGGAAGAGTAACCTTGTTTTAATGACTCCTCCTCCTAACTGATATTCAAGAGACTCTGTTTAGTACGATATTATCACAGGTTGATATTCACGTATAGAATTCCTGAGTGAAGGATCCATCATCACTCCTACTCGGCGCATTCCACATACACTCCTCCTAGCTGAGTCGAAGACATCATGGCGTTGCTCTGGACGTGTCTAGCGCGTATTTATCTATATGGTGTACTACTATTCTTCCCATTTTTTCTCATCCTTTCTAGCCCAGTACTCTCGATAATGAAGCGACCTCACTGTGCTGACTTTTTACAATATTGCACATGGAATTCCACCACATCCTCGTGTATATTTCATGAATCAAGAGCTTTTGGATGTGGTCCTCAAGACGTTTTATTGAATTCTGCAGGATCGACTCGTCACAATAATGTATCATCGTTTGCTCAAGGACACAAGAAAGATCGAGTGACAGACGTATTCGCTGTTGCAGGTTTTACGTGCCATTGGGACGTGGCAGGTTCTCTTCAACTGGATCCAGGAGTGAAGGTCACTGTCGAGGGTGATGATTGTTTATTGCACATTGGATCAGGTCAGATGGTTCTGCTAGGGTCAAAGGCAGTACTATGTGCTTCGTCGTTAAGTATTGAAGCATCGTTTGTGCATCTTGAGGTAGATGCAAAAATCACAGCGTCCTACAGTGGTGTATTTCGTGGTAGCAACGGATTGTTTACAGGAACGGACGTGTTTGGTGCAAGTCATGGAGGAGGAGGCGGTCAGCGACTGGTTGCTAACGCAACGATGCTCACACAGCAGACAACAAGAGGATTCTTTGATGTTAGAGGTCAAACAATTGATGTACAGCTGATTGAGAAGAAAGAAGCACTTTTGAAGCACAGCAGCGCTGGATGGCAGTTGGCGGACTTGTGGGCAAAGGAAAAGACGTTGATGGCGAACCCAGCGGTCACAACAGCGTATTTGGAAGGAGGAGAGGACCCAAGTGCAATGATTGCGCCTTTTCTTTTTGGGAGCGGCAGTCGAGTGGCGATTGGTGGAATTCAACGCGCTGTTACAGTGAATGGAGGTGGTCGAATTCAAATAAAAGCATCAAAAGATGTGGTTGTAATGGATGGCGCTACTATTCAGGCAAATGGAGCCTCTGCAATTGAGGGAGTTAGCGGCGGGTCAGGAGGATCCATTCATGTATCAACCAACGCGCTATCGCTAAGCGGAGGCATTCAGGCTAGAGGAGGGGATGCTTTTTGCACAGATAGTGCTCCAGACCTTGGCATCACTCATTGTTTTCCTGCAGGTGGCGGTGGACGTGTCCAGATCACTTACATGTCGAGCCAACTGAACGCCAATGCGATCGACACAACTGGCGGAACGCTCAGCTCAGACCAAGTAAAGAAATTTTTGGCGGAGAAAAAACGCTTTCGCCACGTACAAATATCAGCGCTTGCTGGTGCAGCAGGCACGTACTATCAGGTAGTCCAGCATTCTGACGGGGTGCACGAAGCTCAACTTATTGTTCGCAACGGCATGCAGCGTTTGTGGCCCAATCGTATTCAAAGCGGCGATGGAGGAGTAGCGATTGATATTGATGACATGGATACAGTTATTGGTGGTGCTGTCACGAGTTTATATGTGGGGGATGATGGTGCAGGCAAGATTGATGCAGTAACAATATCAGATGGCGCTGTTGTCGCGACAGGCTGCTTGAAGCTGCCTGGGGCAGACTTGAGGGTTCTCAATGGTTCATTTTTCTTGGATGCGCTACTGGTGGGGTCAGTGCTCGAGCTGCCTGATTCTACCAGCAGTCACGAAGGCAATAAGCCACCTCTTTTGCAAATTCAAGTGCGAGACATGTTTGTTTCCAGTGGTTCACAGATGAGTGTACCTACTAGCGCACTGCAGCTGTCTGCTCGCTCTTTGTCGATGGATGCGACAGCTGCGCTAGAGTTTGCATGGAGTGCACAGATCACTACAAGCCAGAACATCTACATTGATGCCAACGTATCGAGCGCGCCGTATCCTGTTATCGCAGCTCCTGCACTAGCAGTGACACCATCTACTTCAATGACTACGACTGAACTGTTTGACAGTAAAATTTTGACACTTGTAAGTGGGGGTGAAGTTGCATTGGGTGGAGTTCTCGCTGTTGGGGCACTGTCCGTATTATCCGAATACTCGATATCAATTAATGGCCACCTCGAAGCGTTCAATCGTCCCCGCATAGAATCAGCCTTCCGCTCCTGCAAGGAGCAACAATGGGCATTACTTCGTTTCTCTCAGGGAGACTTAGTTACAAACGATTCGCAAAATGGCCCTGAAATAGGGTCTACGACGCCTGTCGTTCCCTCACCTTTACCGATAGTTAGCAACTTTACATTAGAGCTGTACGCGCGGGGATCAATTTTTGTTGGTGAATCGGAAAAGAAAAAGCAACAGCTTACAGACCAAATTCAGTATGATGATGAAATATCTCCGCAGCCGGCTGGAGTTTTGCGTGGAGGTGCCGTCTTGCTTTGTGCAACTGACTCTGTCGAAATCTCGCAAGAGTCAATTGTATCCGCAGATGGGACAGGAGAACTGGCAAATCAGGGCCCCGGCATGGGATCGTGTGCTGGCTCTATTGGTGGTGGGGCAGGCTACGGCGGCCGCGGAGCTGATTCAAGTCTAGTGACTAAAATCGGCAATTATGCATCTGGTGGTCTGCCATACGGAACTCGATCGGGTGCAGGTATGCTAGGCTCGGGTGGTGGTTGTGTAGATGGTGGAAACGGTGGCGGTATCATAATAATTGGTGCTTCTGGCCTCGTGCTAAATGGTAAAATCCAAAGTAATGGTGATGGTGGTGCAAATGGTGCAGGGGGTGGCTCTGGAGGCTTCTTGGGACTATCCGTAGGGCAGTATCTGCGTGGCCATGGACATATTAGCGCTGTGGGTGGTGGATCTGAATGTACCGACACTTTGTCAACTGTCACGAGTGGCACAATGTGGCAGAAAACCGTATTTATGAACGAAAACATTTACGATGAGGCGACTGGCGAAGACGAAACAGCTCAGCCACCAGTGAGTTCAACGGCCACTTCTCGCCTTTGCGGCGGCGGCGGCGGTGGGGGGACGTCTGCAGCTTACTGGCTGCGAGCTAAGTATATTTGATCGGTGTACAAGAGAATTTGACGGCAACTACACTGTGGCAGGTGGTTCCACCTCGTACAGATTGGCTAGTGATGATGGCGACACGCCGGCATTGCCAGACACCCCAGCATCGTCGGCTGCACAACAGTCCATTGTCCCAGCAGGCGCGAGTGGGTCATTTTTTGGTTTTCCATGCCCGCCTGGCTCTGGCGGACTATTCTGTCGCTTGTGCACAGTGGGGAAATACAAGTCAGAAAGCAACAGTGCGGAGTGCGTCGCGTGCATTAACGCGCCACCAAATGCCCACTACATTGGATTTGGCGCCACTAGCGCGCGTTGTGATTGGGCATGCGACCCCGGATATTCAGGATATTACTGTGTATCACCCATTCAACAGCTACTCGACGCATGCGGTGGCGAGATTGGTTTTGCGCTTGTGCTAATGAGCATAGTGACCTTCTTTATTTTACTGGGATACGCATGTCGAAATCGCAAGGAGCCGTCGTACACTCGAATGTACAACAGTCGAGGTACCAAGGGTGAAAGGCAGCATTTACTGTCTTCTGCTGTAGCTAACTCGCAACGTAGCTGGTTTGCTTCACTATTTCGCTGTTTTTACTGGCCAAGGGTTGGCTACCCAAAGCTTATGGAGCGTGATCTTCCTGAGCACATGGCGCGACTGTACTTGGCCGGGTACAACGAACCAGCCTCTCCGTTAAAGCTTCGCACGACCGTTCCACCAGCTCTAAAAAGGGTCCTCTATGATGTTGAATTTAAAAACTTGGCGGACCGGATCAACCGCGCTTTGGCTTGGCAGCGTGGCCCATGCTCCAGCTGGGGGAAGATCGTGCATTTTTTAGTGGCATTGATATGCTACCCATTCGCGTCTGAAGTAAAACTTTTCCGGCGGCATATTCGCGTGAACGAGCTCAAGCGAATTATCGCAAAGTACAATCATGCTTGTATGAAGGGACCCCGAGCTCGTGGTTTACTCAATGCGGTTAAGCTCGGCTACTGTGCTGATTATTCTCTTGTATATCTAGAGTTGCTGTACAAGGAAAGCTCGCAATCGGTATGCGTACCTACAACTAAGATCGGCAAGCCGTCACTGCCGCTCGTTCTATTGTTTGCTGGGTGTGGAACATATTTCTCTCCTTTTTACTTGGACCCAAACGATTTGCTTGTGCGGTCAATTCCTCAGTGTCCTGAACTGACCGCTTTTATCGATGAGCCATGGATTGAATTTGTTGCTGAGCTCAACGAGCTGCTGCGTGTTGTGCAGCGCGATGCGTTTTCACTTGTTGAGTCGCTTCTTCCTGTAGCTGTGTATTTGGAGAAACAACGCGCGCTATCTTCCATGGGAAAGAACTCAAGCAAGCTTGGAGGATTACGTATTTATCTTGGTAGATTCTATGTCCAAGACGAGTTGAGTATGGGGGAGGAATTTAAGCTCGGCGTCTTCCTTTCGACAGCAGAGGAGTCGCGAGACAATGGCGGCAGCAGTAACAATGTCAGCCTCCAGCAACCTCAACCATCCTCTTGTCGACAAGGCTATGGTAGTCATTACCCAAAAGATTCTATCTACTATAACATTAATGATGTGTATGGGTATGGTCGTGGAAATTCAATGGATTATCATGGACACCGCCATAATGGTGGTATTGGTAATGACGGTATGCTCTACGATATGGGCGGGTGGGGTGCAGCACTAAACAACAGTGGGGCGTCACATGGAAGAAGTCGGAGTACTACTGGTGGAAGTAGTAATGCAGCTGGTCAAAACCCTGTGAGTAGTATCCGAGAAGAGGCACTGCGTATTCGATCTTCAAGCTCACATGGAGACGGCTTAGCAGGTAATGGACATGCAGGAAAAGGTGAGAATGCAGACGATGTGTTGGTACTGATGGGGTCCGGATCTGCAAAGAAGACGAGTATCAACAACGCAACGCATCATTCTTTTTACAAAGGTTGGCTAGGACCTGTTGATGCTTCGCTTCCGGTGCCAGGTGTATTAATTTGTGCTGTCGAGCTACGTGAACGTCTTGCTGATCGAGCCCAATGTCAAATGGTGAAGTCATTCCTTCGTTATTACTTGCTGCCTCGCAACTTGCCGCGCAGCAGCTCACTCAATCTGTCATGGATGCTAAGTATTTCATTGCTCACGCTTCTTATGGTAGATCTGGCAATTACGTTTGCCATTTTGGTCAACTTGAAATGCGTCACGGAAGGTGAAGTCGACCACGACTGTAGTGCCTCGATCATGGTGCCTGTGTTGCTGACGCCGCCTCTTGCACTTATCGTATCGCCCATTATGGGCATCGTCTCGCTCGCACTTTCGTCCTCAACCTTTACGCGTCGGTATTCGGTTTGGAACGCTCTGTCCATGATCAGTGTCGGAATTGCCATCTTAGCCTGCATCGCGCAGTCTAGCCGGCTAGTAGCGCCATGGTTTGCGGGTCCACTACCTTTACTACCAGTGATTGCTATGGGTGTAAAAGCTGGCCAAGCTTATCTTGTAGAGCGCTATATTGCGTTTCAAGAAACTCAACGTCGACGTCGCGGCTGGCGTGGCATCATGAAGCGTCGCCTTTCAGATGCCAGCATACCGACCGAATCACCCTAGTAAGTGTACATATATGGCAAGTTGGTGAAGTCACCGCTAGATTAAAGCATTGTTTCTTTTTGCATTCTTCAGCTCGGCACCTGAGCTAGGCCGCCTCGCCCCAACGCCCCCAACAATGGCCGATCACGGGATCAACCAGTACAGGGGCGATAACTGAGTCATGGTCGGTATAGATTCGTTTCAAACGCAGCAAAGACTAGCATGTGACTATGGGATGCTACTGCAACTTCAAATCACATAGCCGTCTCTCCATGACCACGTACGTTCTCGCGCATTCCAATCCTATGCTGATCCCAAAACTTACACTGATTGCTAAGGTCATTTGTGTTGCGAGTAAATAGTTCGTCTTCTAGGCTAAACAGCAGTATCTCTGTGCAGAATTGTTGGTGGTAGCTTCTGAAAAATCGTCCATTTTGGTCTGTGATTGATGTCCCTGATGATAATGGCGAGACTTTCATGTGACGTGAAACACTCATAGGATGGATAGTCAACGTGAAATAGTCTACAACTACCCACCACTTTGACAGAGAATAACGGGCTGTTAATCAAAGTTTGTAGTGGGCAGTCGGAGCGCTAACATATAACGAAGGTGATGATGAAGAGGTAGAAGAATTCTTCATTACGTTCGAACATTGGGTCAATCTCCAATGACCACAATGAAGATTGAGTGGAACCAGCAATTTGACTGCTGTATAATTTCAAGGTGGCATGGAGCAAGAAAGATTTGACCCTTCATTTGGCACAAGCAACAATATCGAGGATCCAACGCAAGGAAGTGAAAATACGATGTTATACTTTTAGCATTATCAAATATGCAACGTATGTGCAAGATTTTCAATCAAACAACAAAAGATAAACACGTACAACCCGTCAAGGTATCCGTCTACGGCGTTAATTACATGCGTTAATGCAGATCACGTAGATCACCACGACGCAGATTCCGTTACAACTGGTTAAACCATCTAAAAGGACATACTACCAAAACCTGTCCATTAATTGGCTGTACTTGCTTCATTGTAGCGCTGTTGAAGCTACAACCAACAGCGGTAAAACGGAGTGAAGAAAAGCCATTGTGTCGCTCCAGGTCAAATGGATGACGAGTTGCAATCAATAGAGTTGCTCAAGTGTCACGACCTTAAGTGCATTCAGGAAATGTCATTGTGCATTTTTGCCAACAGCGATGCGTAAATGACATTTGCGGCCCTTGATCAAGCTTCTACAGAACAAACCACTTACAAACATCTTGACACGTACAGACCAATAAACCTTGGCCTTCGTCCGGCAGATGAAGCAACAGGAATCAAAACGTCAGTCCACAAATTTGAAAGTGCCGACGCATAATTTCGTAATGACATCGCGCAATTCGTCGTTCATCTCTGTAGCGGCAAAGCAACAACCGTCTTCTTCGTTTACTTGGTACAGAGAGGCAACAATCTGAAATAGAGACAAGACCACGAATACGATCCCCGGAGACTGCAAGAAATCAAGATATGGGTGTGTATCAGGCTTGCAAGGTCCTCCCCATGGATCATCACAGGATGACACAGTAGAGTCGTCAGTGGCTAAAAAGCTCCAGCACGCAGTATAAAACAATTGCTATGAAGTATATCAACAAACTGCCTTGCTTGAGCATGATACTACCGGTTGTTAGATTAACAAAGTCCCTGATTGATGGCACATAATGCCAATTAATTTGGCTACAACTATTTTCAATGCGCTGTTCGGTATTGCGAGGCCAAGGTGGCGGTGTCTGTATTGTCAAATCAATCCAATAAACCAAGTTTGAATGCATCTAAATGTTTCCACTCCAATCAAAAGCTATTGAAACTAAAAAAGGTATTGCAAATAAACTATTTGAGCTTTTACAAACGTAATTACGCAATACTGACACACGCGAGAATATGCACGAGTTTGTCATTCCGCAACATCACTAGGTTGAACAAATCCCTCTCACGTGTTCCATCGAGAGTCTCCACCGAGAAAAACCTGACTGTTGCAGAGTACGAAGAAGAGAGGTGGTTTCCTAATGATGGAGCTGAGCTGGTCGCAGGCGCCTTAACCAATTATGCTCTAATTGAGGAATGGCTAGCGGCCGAAAACTTACCACCTCATATTGTTCCGAAGATTGGACTGTGCATTCACGACATGGCGAATAACGAACTGGCTAACCAAAAGTTAGCGTGGTTGAAACACTACGTAGACCGCTATAACATGAAGTATAGCCCAAGTAACTTGACGCTCTATGACACTCTCTCAAATTACTTCAAGGAGAGCGGTATAGTGAAGATGCTTGCATTTTGGAAGGAGGATACTGCTACAGCAATAACAATTGAACAGCAGACATGGATCCATGAAACTAAACATCCCATAGACGTTTTCAAAGAGTTGGAGCTTAACAATGTGGTCTCTAGTCCTTTGGCCAGCCCAAAGTTGGAATACTGGATCAGCTACAAGAACCGATACAACACTAGGAACCCCAAGAGGTCCACTTCGCTACTCCTAACGCTTGATCACTGGTATGGTAAGAATGGTCTGGACGACATTGTTTCAGCTGGAAAGCAAACAGCTACAGTATCAGAACAACAAGCAGCCGAACGACTGAAGTGGCTGACTCAAAAGAAGGACCCTGAAACGGCTTTTTCGAGCTATTTGAAAATGGAGTTTGATGAAAAGGAAGCGATTCTTTTGGCTAACACAGAGTTGGCAAACTGGGTCAAATACATGGAGCTGTTCAACAAAGAAATCTCCAAGGATCAAATCACGCTTCAAAAACCCTTCGACATCATTATATGGAGAAGATACTTTGGCAAAGATTATTGCAAATGGAAAAAGGGACGTGAATACATTAAGTACGGTCATAGAGCTGCACTGGCTAAACCAAAAGATAGCTCTTATCAAAATTGCGGAGCTGTTGGAGATTAATAAGAAGGCAGGGTTTATCATACTTCCAAAGAAATTGGAATATTTGACCTACTACATCGAGCGATTCAACAAAGAGGAAACAACAAGTGAACAAAAAACACAGTTTTCAAAGTCATTTTGAAAAACATATTCCAATATCGGTATGATAAAATTCAAGCTATTTTGCGCGAAAGCTGGCTACGTCATGGAACAGATCCTGAAGACGTTCTAAGAATGTTGAGACTGGACAAAGCAGAAAATCTTGGTGTAAATTCACCGATGACTTTCTGGTTTCTGTATGCGGTAAATTTTCACAAAAAGTACTCTAGCATGGAGACAAACTTGTGCATGTATCTTCCGCATGACGGCAAGACTTTGACAAAATTGGTGTATTCTCATGGCAGATTGTTTTCGCATTCACACGTCGGTGGCCGACATTTTCATGATTTGATAGGGTGCTAGAATTCTAAAGAAATTGATCCAGCTGAAGTTTTCAAGTACTTTAGTCGGAAACGTCGGTATATTCCTTACACAAGATTTTCGTTTCACGATGTGGAGCACGTACCTTAAGTCTTACAATCACAAACGAGAAACTGTAGATTAAGTCTCACTTACGTCTGTACTACGGCAGTTTTATTCAGACGAACTAGTTAAGGCTATTTTAGCTTACGAGAAAGAGATTGTTACGAATCATGTTTCTCCGATTTCTGAATCGAATAGAAAGAAGCAAAAGCGAAGCGAGGAGGTAGAAGAAGAAAGACCATCGAAACGCTCAAAAGGCACTTGAGACTACATATTCAAGCCTAATGCAGCACAAGAGCGTAAGTCAAAGAATTTGTCGATTACAGTGCGGAATGCAGGTTAAGACATTTTTCGTATATAATGAAAACCTTCATTGGCATCATAACCGGTAGAGCTCAGTTGCTTTGACTCTGTAGCAGTCATCTTTGTTGTTTGTTTCTTCTTTTACTGCTCTGGGCATGTGCAACACTGGCTTAACTGATTCTAGGTGGTACAAAAAGTGGCATGAAGATCATGATATTCAAAATCTTAACCTCAACAGACGATGGTCTGTAGAAGGTTTTTTTTTAACAATTCTAGAGCTACAGCGTCTGTGTACGGCTTACTACGGGCATTACACACAATGCAAGATCTTTGTATGCCATCTTGTCGTCCGGTTTCTCCGTATTCTGTCGTCCAGTACAAGTGAATCCACAACACTTGATGCGCGGTTCACTTGGTTTACTGAATGTAGGTTCTCTCTCCAGGTTGGCGAAAACATGGCCGCACGTTGCCGTCGTAGACCCAGGCTCCTCTACATACACCTCCAGTGAAGAGAGCGATGGCCCTTCGTGCCCGGTGTGCAACCACGCGACTTGCGCCCCCTCAGTTGAACAGTGGTTCCTGAGTCAAGAAACCGCACCGGCGCAGTGGCGTTCGGTGCGAAATGAGCGAGCAGTGGCTACTACGCGTTCCGTACCGGCAGTGGCCTCCGTTCGCCCCGATGAAACACCAGCGCAGTGACGCTCGGTGTCCGATATTAAGACTAAGGTAGAACAGAAACTCCCTGAGTCGAGTGTAGTTGTGGTCGAGCAGGGGCTCCCACAATCCAAGCCTGACGCAAAATCCCAGCGGTCAGCATCTCAGCGCCGTCGAGAGCGACGCGCGCGCTCAATTTTACCACAGCAAGCGCGATCCGCCGCGTCTGCTTCTGCATTTGAAACGATTAGCGTGGTGAACTTGACTGGTACAGGTCCCAGCATCCATTCGCTCCAAGTCGCAAGACTACCTTGCAACGAGTCTGGCATCACGCAGCTCCCGGAAGTGTCTTGGGATGAGATGCTGCGTGATCTTAAGAGGCTGACCGTGGTGACGGCACGAGAGATCTCGTGCCCAGGTCTAAATATTGCGTTACGCGGCAATGGTTGCTTCCTCGTGATCAAATTGATGCGATTGACACCTTCTTCGAAGGTCAACGACAGGCGGGTCATCTCCGTGAGAGTGTCTTCCACACTCAAGTCCCACCTTCTGTGTTAAGTAAACGACTGGAGGTTGGCGCATCGCTCACACCTTTAACAAGATGAACGATGCTACGATCCCTGCACTGACCCCGATTCCGCGGAAGGACATGGGTTTGGGCACCATATTGGGCAGCACGATCTTCTCTACTCTGGATTTGACAGACGGATTCTATCAAATCCTCATGCGTCCAAAGGACATTCCCCTAACAGCGGTTAGTACACCCAGTATAATGCTCTGGGAATGGCTCGTGATGCCGCAGAGGCGTTCTTAAGCCCCTGCCACCTTCAATCGTATGGTCTCGCACGTTCTGCGGCCATTTCGAGACTTTGCGCCTAGCTATTTCGACGATATCTTTGTACACAGCCGCGCCGCTGAAGGCGCAAAGGACCTTGACGTTCATTTGGGTCACCTCCGTAAGGTGCTTGAAGCTATGCATGCAATTAAGCTGTACGAGAACCTGAAGAAGTGTATCTTCTGTGCTCCAGAGATCCCTGTGCTAGGTTCCTACGTCAGCGAGAAAGGTGTTCGCGCTGACCGCGGGAAGGTCGCGTCGATCAGCGCCTGGCCAGAGCGAACGAACCCGAAGCAATTGCGTCAATGGCTTGGTCTTGCCAATTATCTGCATCATTACGCGAAAGACTTTGCTGCAGTTATTCACCCGCTGTCCCAGTTGTTGAAGTAGGACGCCACGTGGGCGTGGCGTCAGGAGCATCGAAGCGCTTTTGATGCTATTATAGCGAAACTGTCATCAGCTCTAGTTCTCGCCTTGACAGATCATTCCAAGCCTTTTCATGTCGCATGTAATGCGAGCGACTTTGCGATTAGTTGTGCTCTAATGCAACATGATGACGAAGGCCACGAACGTGTCGTGAGTCATCAGTCTCGGCAGTTGAAACCTGCAGAGAGCATTACCCTGTGCATGACAAAGAGTTTTTAGCGATGTGTTATGCTCTAATGAAGTTTTGCGTATATCTGCTTGGTGAAGAAACGTTCGCACTCTCACGGATCACGCATCGTTGCGGACAGCCACAAAAAGTCCGCACCTCAGGCAGCGCACGGCGCGCTGGCTATCGTTCTTCTCCGAATACAATTTTGTCGTCTACTATAAGCCTGGTTTGACAAACATTATCACCGGCGCGTTGCCACGTCGTCCCGATTAAGATCCTCGCGGTGACGGTCCAGTTTGCTCCTCCATCGAGGACGAAGACGAGGAAGTGCAGCCTGATGGCTCTTGGAGTAAGCACGACCGCTGTGAGCGCTGTCAATCCGCCCCGTACTGACATCGTGACGGCGTACCATAGCGATAAGTTCCTTTTGCCACTCTTGAAATACTATCAAGACCCATCGGATGAGTCGATGTGCAAACTGACAGCGCCGCCACGTGCCCAAGCTTCTCGTTACACAATTGTTGGCGACCTGCTAATGTACCAGGTCGATCAATTTGATCCTCCTCTCATCTTCGTTCCACTTGATGATGATTTACGTGCACGCATACTCCACGAGTATCATGACAGCGCGACGAGCGGTCACCTAGGATGGGAGAAGACGTACCTCGCGCTGCCACGTGATTTTCACTGGCCCCATATGTATAAGTGGGTTCGTTCCTGCGAGACATGCCAACGCGTGAAATTAGCTCCGTCCTCTCAAGCTCCGCTGACTCATTACCCATTGTCACCGAGGTGTGGCGATCAGTTAGCATGGACTTTGTATTTGGCCTTCCAGAAGACGCGCAGGGGCGCACTGGTATCGTCGTCGTCGTTCGCCGGTTTAGCAAGATGGTGTATCTGGCTCCGGTCGCCACATCAATAACTGCAACAGATACGGCGACAATCTTCTTGGACATGGTCTTTCGACACCATGGAATGCCCACTACAATCGTTTCGGATCGTGATCGCCGGTTCACAGCCGCCTTTTGGTCGCGGCTGTTCGAGTTACTGGGTACCAGATTGTTAATGTCTACTGTGGCGCACTCGAGCCGACGGCCAGACTGAACGTGTGAAGCGCGTATTGGAAGACGTGCTGCGAAGTTACGCTACGTCATACGAGCCATGGAGTGCTTTTCTCCCCATGACCGAGTTTGCATATAATAACGCCGTTCACGCTTCAACGGGATTGACACCCTCCTTCGTCAATAGCGCGCGTCATCCACGCGTGCCTGTCCTTCTCGGTTTAGAGTGTGGTTCTACTCTTGTTGGGGGAGATACCCCAAGAGTTATGGATTTGACGAAGTACGCAGCATTAAGCGCTGCGGATACCCACGATGACGCCTCGCCTTCCCCGGCGTCGGATATTGTGACAATGACTTGCGCTGCTTGACAGCGTAAGCTGACTCCGTTGTCGGTGCATCACGCTACAGAATGGGCTAGCGAAACTTTGATTACTCCTACGCGTCGTGCGTTTCCATTACCTTCGTCGTCCAACAGATCTGTCGATCGATCCCTCAAGTCGTTGTGCTTCGCTTTCGTGATGCGCTCGCGAGCGCGGTAGACAAATAGAAGGCGTCCGCGGATCAACGCAAACGCAAGAACTTGTTGAAGTTCTCCGTGGGTTACTCCGTGTCGTTATCCACGACAGGCATTCAAGAGGCATCTGCGGCAAACCTTGGTGCAAATAAACGTTCACCGCGCAAGATTGGACCGTTCAAGCTCGTCAATGTTATGAGAAATGCCTACATGCTTGATATCCCTACTGCAGTGCAACTTCACCCAACGTTTTATGTCGGGCGACTCAAACGCTACTAGCCGGCCCTCCTCCCGACTGATCAGGAGGTCCCACCGCGGGAGCATAACGTGGCCCGCGGTACTTCGGCTTCCTTGGAGGATCCGGTCGACGGTCCCCGCGCAACACCGCTTTGTCCTTCCAAAGAGCCGCGTTTGACTGTTCCAAACGCTCCAAGCGAGCCCCCAATCCGGCTACATTCGAAGCCACCTGCTTCACTCGCGTCAGCAAGCTCAGCCAGTTCTCTCGCCTACTCCGCGTCATATCTAACCAACCCAACG